GAGCGAAGGGATAATTTCACCGTCAAGATGAAACACTGCTTGGTTGTTAAAAGGAAAAATAACTCTAGTTGACTCGACTGCGGGGAATACGGATGAATGGCATTACGGACAGAGACAAGGGAGGCTGAAATGGCCATTTACAGCTTATTAGTCGTCAACTCGAGAAAGCCCCAAGGCACAACGGGACGAGTGAGTTCCGTAAAAAACGATCGGTGAGCGCCCCTCTACCATTGAATATACCCGGTCGCAACCGACAGGACAACTAATCCGTGGCTCAGTGGTTAGAGGCGTTGGATTTCTAACCAGCAGGTAGCGGGATCGAGCCCTGGTGTTGCCCACCTTGAGGTGGGCTATGACCGGCTGACGAAAACTAATAAGCCAAAAATGGTCATTCCAGTCTCCCTCGTTTCTGTTGGCAATGACATACTGCCTACATTACGCGCCGCTTTGTGGCCGCTGGCAGGGCTCGAGCGAGAGAGACCTCCAACGCACAACGGGACGAGTGATTTCCGTAGCGCAATCAGTGAGAACCCATGTACCATTGGAAATAAGGCTATTATCACACCACGTGCACATAGCTGCGGCGCAGAAACTGCATCCTCGAAATACTGCAACACGTGTGTGACTCACTATCCTTATCTAACTTTGTCTCTGATGATGGACTAGAGTGCAAATCTGAAACGTCAGGCTACTAACACTCCTGTTACAGCCATCAGTCGATCCCGGTTGCACCCGGCATAAGTCAACTAGCTTCGCGGTGTGGTGCTGCGCCATCGACCCCGCATGAGATTGGGCGGTGTGGAGGAAGCAGAGTGTAGCCGCTTGTGCCTTCAATTGCCGATGAGTGCGACAAAAGAGTGGCGTCAGGGTTAATTTTGGATCTGAATGGAAGAAAATAGGCATGCCACGCTTTTCTAGGCTCCGCCAACTTCGGAAACTAATAAGTAAGCTGTATGCCGAGGTGAAAAGTAAACGTACGCCCGCGTCTGAATAAATGCAGCATTGGTGATACTTACGCCACGATGATCATAAGGCCTGGGGTTGACATAGGGCAAATGACCTGCGACAGAGTTCGCCGCAGCCTTCTTTCTTGCCGTGAAGGGACGCATAATCCGAAAGAGGAGTTCAAAGTCAGAGCCAGAGCAGGTGGGCGTAACATTTGTTGATGTTTTGGCAGCACTCGCAACCCCTAACTGTCGTTCGCTAGGTAGCAGGCTTCTGGGAGCATGTACCGTCTTCACAAGAGTGAGTTTTTGCCGGTGGCCAGCACGATTCGGAGATTTCATCACCAAGGCTCGGAAACTGAAATCCACCGGCGGCGGCGGTGGAGGGGCCGGCTGTTCCGACTGGCTGACTTTTGCTACCTCCGCCTCCTCCCCGTAGACTGTTTTGAGAAAACGAGCATGGACCTCCTTACAGTCCGCCAGTCTGGCGAAACTGAACATGAGTTTGACAGCGACAGAGAAAGGTAGCTTGACTAGTGGCTTCGGAGGTGAATATACTGCGCAAAGGCCAGTCACTAATGGAAGGATACAGAAGACTTGAGGTCAAGGTGAACACAAACGCGAATGAAGAGGCGAGAGAATGCGTGAGTGTGTGAGAGAGAGAGAAAACGACTGTCAAGGTGCACGCATGCGTGTGACTCTAAATAAACTCATCTAACTAAGTCGCCTGTAGGTTGTTAGTTGTGCAATATTCCGGCGCATAAGAGGCTCACATTAATATGACTGTTGGCCTTTTTGTTATGAATCCAGTATCCCAAGATCTTCCGAAGCCCACGAAAAAACCCGTCTGATGCTAATTTAGACGACAAAACAGGTTTTAACAGATGAAATCTATTTAACCTTTTTCAGAGCTGCAAGTTCAATGTTAACCGATTATAAGCACGCCTTTAACTTACGTCCGCCACACAGGTAGCATCTGTTCGACCTTAATTATACTGCATCACTATCGATAAAAAATCATAAAAAAACGAACGAAACTACTACCTCTTGAGAACTCACATCGATGCTTTATTGGTTGCGTGAGAGGAAGCCCAGTCGTTTTTACCTTACGATGATCTACGAGGGAGCTGACATTAATTCCGCTTCAACATCAAGTGGGGGGATCATCTATGTTTGCTGAGGGGTTGGGCCCTTCTTTTTTTTTCCAGGCGATATTCCAGTGTGGTGGCACTCTGCAACCATCAGGTCCTTTACATTTCACATTTTCGGAGTGTGGCTAAGTTTCTTTATCTGGCTGCCAAGCCATTCCATCAAACAGGGCGCGGTCTGTCACACACCCCCTCGGACCACAGTATACCGCAAATCTGTTATTGCATTTGTGACAGAGGCCCGACTTGCTGGGTGAGTGAAGTGGAAACAAAGAGGCCTACTTTGTGATCCAACTCCATTACCACGAACGCGCAAAGACCCCAAGACCGAGTCCGGTCGACTTTTGTGGTTCTGTAACCTTACAACGAGTTATAATTCCTATGGGAAAGGCGATTCCATACTAGCAGCACAGGTAGCAGCCAAAAACCCATACACACGTGTTTCGCCGACATTCTGCCGCTGCACGACACAGCTGCGAGGGCTTCGGCTCGTCAGTGGGTCATGCCCATGTAATGCCTAAACTCCACTTTCTCAAGTTTGCCTTGAAATAGGATCAATCACGGTTAAGAAAACCAGCCGTGCTCGCAACGCGAGTGTTTGGTTTGGACTAAAATCATCACGCATGTAGACACCGGGTAGCAAATAGTGCCGGCAATCGTCAGATGTTCAAATTCAGTGGTTAAGGTATCAAGCTTACCAAAAAACGGTAACCACTGGTAAGCCTGACCCCAGCCACTTTCAGCAAGATCGGCGGCATATCTGTCTGGCAAACTGTATCACTCTCCACCTTATACCGTCTGAGCATTCCTGTCCAACATCCCGCTGGGTACAGACCCATTTTTAACTTTGCTTTTGCGCCATTCGCCGAGGCTTTAGTGTGTTTGGATTGCACCGCTCGCCAAGGCTCCTGAAGCATACACTCCTTGTACTTCGTAACGCAATTTCCGATGTGGCCAGACACTGAAACAGAGTGTGATAGCCATGTTTTCCCTTTGAGTCCTGCGATTCCTTGTCGCCAGCCTTTTTGTCTCGACCCTTGGTTCTCGCTCGTTCTTGGGAGTACCTTTGATAAGAAAATTTAATCCCCTCATCCACAGTAAATTCATCTGTCTTTTATGCGTCCCAAGCAGATCAAAGTTCCGAATTATGTTTTAGTACTCCTCACTTTCAAGACAGTAGTCTAGTAAGCTTTCGGAGCCTGACTTACTCCGAGTTTGCCTCTCCTGGGCCAGTGGACAAAATTTGCATGCATGGGATTTGACCCAGACGACAGGAGTTAAGTCAACTCAGTGCTAGCCGAACATCAGTACGCCCCTATCTGTTCGACCTTGGTTGCCATCTCCAGAACTCGGAATTGCGGACTATCGGTTTAGATCGGCTGAATTCCGATGTCGATTACTGTTGTGGGAAACAACAGTAGTTGGACAAACAACCGGCCAGGGGCGAGCTGCAAGTGAAGATTTGAAAGACATTGACCGTGCCTCGCGCGCGTGTGAGGAAAAGCGTTCCCACGGCGAATGAGCAGTCCAGGGCCCCGGGGCTCAATGTCGGAGTAAGATCGCTACAACACGACAGACATATTGGAGGGCGGTTGGCAGCTGTCTGCATCAGTTCCCACATCTCATCCTTAACCTGACATCTACATAGTTAGCAACTGGAAAAGTTGGTAGAAGCCATCATTCGGAGCGGGTCTACAGGCGAGGCAGCAACTTCCCTGATCAGCAGGTGCAGTGATCCAGGCGCCAGAGATAGCTTAGTTCATCGACACGGTGGCTACCTGTCCTACCAAACTAGAATTGAGGGCAGGGATTTTGCTGGTACACGAATACAGGCAACGGATCGATACATGAGTGGTCGTCACAGTACGTTATGAAACAGGGCTACCTAAACCAGAGTCGAAACTGTCGTACCTCTACTGGTAATTCACTTTTGCCATAGATGGCACAAGCCATGCGTCAAGCGCATCCACGCCCGTCTCCCGTTTTGCCACATCAGAAATTGTCTCAACGAAAAATGACGAGCTCACATGTAGCAAAGGCTACTCAATCTTCGAACTCCCTCGGACTTAAAGTTTTGCCGCGGTGGATTCACGGTTCGGTAAATATTCCCCAGCTCAAATGTGTGGCTATGGGCCATCTGTCAACACCAGTTCAGCGGAGGGCTGTTTCAGGTTGGCCAGTGAGAACTGGAGTTGCCACAGCTCTGCAAGCACGCAGAACCGACATGGACACAACAAGACCAGTTGGTAGAAACACCAGCCGACAAGGCAGATTCTGGTGGGTGGGATCCCTAGAGCCTTTGCGGCGTGACAGGCATACCGGAGGGCGGTGGCGTCTACCACCGCATTTCGCGTTCTTTTCTGCGTCAAATGGTAAAATGCAATCATTGGTTAGTCTTTTCAGAGAGCGGTGCCTACAATAAACCGAAGTATAAACAATCAGACGGAGATTCGCTGCGCATATGTATGATCAGTTCGCGCGTCAGAGGGAGCCGGTACCATCAGCTGGCAGAGACCACAATCTCCCATAAATGTCACCAGGCAGTGTATAGTAAATTAGTACTGCGGGTCGAGAGCTCCGGAGAGGACTGCAGGTCTTGGTTAAAGTGGCAATAAACAACATTCTGATAGCATCACATCATACAATCACCGGATTCTAGAAGTTACCGCTGGTCCCCTCGCACGTAACTCGAACACCGAAAGAACTTTGACGAGATGCTCAGTGGGAGTCGACAACTCACATCGCAACGGGATGGGATGGCGTTCAGAAACGCATATTGCAATGCTGATGCAAAGGAACAGGGAACTTTACTAAATCAGAGTTCGCCTCGAGTTAGCAAAAAGGACGGAGGGGCACTTATATTGGCAAGAAGTAAAAAAGATAAGAATTATAGCGAAGAGAGAGAGAGAGAGAGAGAGAGCGAGTGGTGTTGAAGAAGACGGGGAGACACCAAACACAGGGAGTTGAGCAGATCACTTGAAACGCCAGGCCTGCACAAAGGCATCTTGACCGGTGCTGTAGAGGGTATCGTCGGAGG